TGGATTTTTCTTTCCACTTCACCCTGACACACCAGAGCAGAAGTGCCACAGCAGAACTGCCACTCCTGGAACACCTGACCTTGGCCAAGTTTTACACACTGACTGTTATTGAGTGTTCATTTTTCCCCCTCCTGCTGATGACCAACAAACTGAAAGGGACCTTTAAGATCAACACGTTCCTTGACTACACCTGATGCCCAGTGAGGTCCAGCCTCAGGTGAGCTCAGGACCAACATCCAGTCCTGGTACAGAACAGTCCAAAACATCCCCTGGACCTGCTGCAGGAGAGCTCAGCTCAGCAGAACATGCAGGGTTGTGCTGGCCAAGCTATGCTGAATTTCAGGAGGGACTCCATGAGTGCACCTGCAAGTGGAATAAATCTGTGCAAGGGCAAACAACAACTGCCCTTAAAAAGTGCATTAACCAATACACACGCTCACTACTGCCCTTCTGAGAACAGCACAGGCCTGGTTTGATCTATTTTCATAGACAGAAAACATCTATTGTAATCATGACCTGAAAGCAATTTGTTTCCCTGCCAGATTCTGAGCAAGCAGTTATTCCAATTACCACACTCACGCTCCCTTACAAAAGGCTGTCTTTCATCTCAAATTCTCTCTATGGCATTTATTTAAGGCACCAGTGAATGGGCTGGTATCATCTGGAATACCAGAAGCACTTATTAAACTTTGCAGAGTAAGAAGTTTGTTGCCTTATATTTTAGCAACAAAAAGACCAGGAAAAGGCACCAATACTGGAAGAAACTATTTCAATGGAGCTGCCAAATCCCAGCCTACGGGATGACAGAGCTCCAACAACCAGGGCCTCTGCAAATACCTCGCTCTTCCAAGAGCACATAGCTGGCAACATTCCTTTCTTCACTAACAATGTGTGAATTAATGATAAGAGAAGGGCAAATGCTGAAAAATCAGATGAACAGATTTTTCCACAGGCCAGACAGTGCTTCAGATATTTGGGCTTAATTATAAACCCAAACTAAGCCGTGAGGAGGTACCTGGAACAGGAAGAACCCACCCAAATTTAATTAAACAGCAGCTGTGCTGAGTTCCAGAGCACTCAGGTAAGTGTTAAAGTGTGGCCTCCAGTTCCTTGCCCAGAGCCAGCTGTGTCCTTCCCACCTCCTGCAGCAGGAGAAGGTGATGGATTGCACTGGGAATGGGGGCCTCAGTCACTGACAGGATGCTCTGCTGGAGCTGCTCCCATCAGATTTCCACAGAACAGCTGACTTAGGACTAAATATCTTTCAGCAGTAGAAGGATCTTTACAGTCAAGGAAACAGGAGGAAGCTGAAGGTGGGCACAAGGGCCTGGGCTCCCATCCCTCTCCTTCACCCCATCCTGCATTGCAGCCTCACCGTGTCAGCTCCAAGGAGACCTTGGAATGTGGCCACCTACCCCACAGCCCTCCAAAGCCCCCACATGCCCATTGAGCTGTGCAAAATGCCAAACAAATGGCTGGGGCAGGAGGTGGTTCAGAGGAAAGGCACAGTGAGCTGGCAGCCCTGGCAGCTGCTGCAGAGCTGGCACACCAAGCCCTGGGTCTGCAGGGCTGGTCCTGATCCAGGTCAGGTGCTGCTCACCCACTCTGTCCTGGTGCTCTGGGTTGGGACACAGGCTGACAGGAGCCCAGGCAGCCCTCCTGCTGCTGTAGCTGGCACCTGTGGATGCTCTGTGGTTGTCCAAACTGACTGGGCAGCATGTGAGATGGGAAAACGCGGGATAGAATTTTTTTTTACCTGGAGCTTCATAATCTTGACACAAGTTTCCCTCTTAGAAGGGAAATAAAGGAGGATGATTTTGAGCAACAGGTTTCCAGGTCTTCAGAAAGAGCAAATAAGTCCAAGTGAATCTTGTGGCTGGTGATGCCCTGAACCCCAAGGCAGAAGCTGAGGGGCTGTGCCACCCCAAATACTGGCAAGACACAGGTATCCAGCCACCAGGCTTTTGGGTAAACTTGCTTTCCTGTGTTCCTCTGACACAGCCAAGTGATAGAGTCAAAGCATTGGGAGTAGATGAGATGGTAAAAGCAAACAACTGCCCAGAAACCTTCCCCTTTCTCTGAGCCCCATCCCTAAATAAAATAGTAGCTCCAAGCTGGGACATCCCAGTACCACCTTTCCTGAACGGCTGAGATACAATATTTCCTTTTTTAAAAAAAGAGAAAAAACTCAGCCTACACAAATACTCCAGATGCTGCCTCCCTGCAGCACCAGAGGGATTTTGTAACTTGTAAATTGTATTTTATGGGACTTGATTTTAGCTCTGAGTCCAAGTCCCAAAATAAACTCCTTAACCCCTGTGCTGCTTTATGATTTCATGTCTATAAATACTTGCTCAGAGCAGGTTTCTGCATTAAGATCAACATCTGCCTCCCTGTGACAGCTGCTTCCTCCCCTGGGCTCCAACACAAGGACGCTGTTCTGGGAGCAGGAGTTTCAGTCCCATGAGGTCAAACCAGCTCTCAAAGCTGGCACAGCCACCTCCCTGGGCCACCAGCCACGCACGTGTGACCTGTCCCCAACACCAGGACCCCTCACCCATCTCAAGGGGGCTTTGCAGAGGAGGTACCAACTCCCCATGGGAACTGAGCTCCTGCTGGCAGGGACTGCAGCCAGCAGGGATGAGCATGGAAGGGCTGCAAGGGACAAACAACTCTCAGTGGTGTAATTGTTAAAAGTGATGAGGTCCAAGTCCCCAGAGCCGAGATGAAGCTGTTTGTGCAGCTCTGACAGCGTTTACACAACTGAGCAGCAGCACGTTCAGAGGACTGGGGGCTGGCTCTGCAGCCCCTCTGGGCAGGCACAGCTCCTGCCACCCTCACCACTGCCTGCCCACACTGCTCACGGGGCTTTGGGACACAGCAGACTCCACAGATGTGTCCCACAGGAGATCTCTGGGCAGAGCACCCCATTATTTGGGAGCTAAGTGTCCTTCCCCACAGAGCTGGGCACCTGCTGGGGAACAGCTTGGGGCTCAGCCAGGCACCTGATCGAAGGACCTGGTTCATGAAAGCATGAACAAAAAAAGCTGAGTCTCCAATGTGTTCCTCAAATTATTAAAAGCTCTAAATTTTTGGATTTTACCAAGGGCAAGCTCCCAATCCCTACCAGCATTCCCATCCACGTCTGCAGATACATGCAGAGGGGTTTTCAATCATCCAGGTACTCTGCTGATGGAGAGGGAGCTATTGTCTCTCCCCAGGGCCCCCAGAGCATATCTGGAGCCCATTTATCCCTGCAACAACAACACTTCTCTCCTGTCCCACAGCCTGCTTCGGATGTTTGCGAGTCCCGCGCTAAAGAACTGAAGAAAGAAAAAGTTAAAGAATCAAAATTTGTATTAACTGAGCAAACCTCACCTTGGCTTTGATGGGTGCTTTTAGCTTAGTGGGTTATTTTGTTCTCCTGACAAGAAGGGACAGAGTTTAGTGAGAGCAGTCCCCAAGCCCAGTGCCTGCCCGGCCAGCTGGCCCCGCTGCAGCGCCCGCGCCGTGCCAGCCCTCGCACCAGCTCTGCTTCCAGCTCTAACTCTCCATTTAGAGCCTCATCCAAACAACCCCTGTGCCAAACGGAACGCTGTCCCACTCATGCTGCTTTAATTTCCTCAGAAAGAATCCCAGAATACGCTAGGCAAGACATCAACAATAATTAAACCCAACAGTGATTGAAAATCACATTTTCGGGGCCTCGCAACAAGCCCTAATGAGTTCCAGACTTGCCTTCCCCGGCTTGCTCAGACTGGCTGTGTGACACTGCCAAGCCAAATTAAAATTTGACAGCACTCCACGCCGTGCCCAGAAAAAGTGCCCGTCTCAGGATTCAGGAAATTAAACAGCCGTCTGTGCGGAGACGCCCATTCGTCTTTGGACAGAGATTATTCACACACTGATCCAGAGCCTGCATTATTCTTTTCCCTTGTTTTCATTATGTCACTTCACATCCCTTTTGAAGTGCAAACTAGCTGGGACTTCTCTTTTTATCCTGCTGTGTTCAGGTGAGAGGACACAGGCAGGTGGGCAGCAGAGCCCTGCAGACCAGGGCATCACCCCCTAGCCCCACAGGGGTTACACCTGGCACAGCCCAGAGGGGGCCCCGAGAGGGTCTCCCAGCAGAACTACACCTTCCACTGCAGGCAGTTTGTGCTTTTCCCTCACGGATTTAAGTGGAATAAAGATGGCATCTTGTCCTTTGCCCTTCCACCAAGGGGAGCTGAGGACCCAGCCACATGTTTCGGGAAGGCTTGATGGTTTCTACATCCATGAACCTTTTGGTGTGCACTGTGAGCCTTCACTGCTCCACTGCCTGCAGACAATGCTCCAGAAGCTCCTGGGAGATGGGTCCAGTGCAGAAATAGCTTTGCCAGGGTATGTTTCTGCTCCACAGCACGGATTTGCTCAGCACTCCTTGCTGCCCACATCCAGCCCTGTTCCCATGCTTTCTCCCACAAGGGACACCCAGCCTGGAGCTGTGGCAGGGACTCGGCCCCCTCAGCCTTCCCTGCTCCAGACAAGGCAGGAATTGAGCTGCTGTAGCAGACCCTGCCCACAGCCCACACACAACCCCATGGGAAAGGGTCAGTTCTCACTCCCATGGGATCCACTCCACTCCATCTCACACACTTCCCCAGTGCTCCAGCTGGCACACAGAGGTGCCCCCATGGGAGCTGTGGCAGACAGGACCCTGTGGATGTGCCCAAGGGTTATCAGCAGCAGGGACCTGCTGGCAGGGGACACATTGCTCTGAGTCTCTGGGCATGGCACACCAGGAGCCCTTCCCTGCAGGTCCCACCAAACCCTGGCCATCCCCTGCGGGGACAGGGTCACCCTGCAGGGCCACACTGGGGGTGCCTGCCCGTGCCAGCAAGCACTGACAGTGCCATGGCAGGCACCCAACAGGGTCAGCAGGGACAGCAAAGGTGGCAGGGCTGGAAAGAGGAGCAAGGGAGGGAGGGAAGGAGGAACCCCAAAGCCCTCAGTCTCACCTCAAAGCGTCATGTATGTCAGGCAGGACACAGGGAGAGCAGGGGCACAACACAGCCCCAGTCACCCAGAGCAGGCACAGACAGCAACTCCTGCTGCCAAGCACCAACCTTTGCCCGGGGCATCCTGCGAGGAGCAGCCAGTCCTCAGTAAAACCCGGCAAATAGTTTTCCTTGGGATCCAGCAGTGGCTCAGTTCAAACCTAACCTAACAAGGAGCTACACCTCGACAACCAGAGGCTGACCTTCCCATCCTGACAGGCAGGGAGGGATCTCCAAGGTCAGCACTGGCGATAAACTTCATGGCAAAGGGCAGCATCCCCCCGGTGAAGGTTCTGGAGGTGCCCCTGTGCCCTGGGAGACCCATGGATGCTGGTCCCAGGGCACAGCACTCGGCACTGCCCGCTCGGGGCCATCTGGCACCAAGAGACGGAATCTCAGCAAGCTGGCAAGGGGCGCTGAACTCACCCCCGAACCACGCGGGGACAAAGGCGCAGAGAGGAAGGTCGTGAAAGCAGCTGCTCCCTGACAACCCATTCCACACGCTTTTATCTGGCGACTAGAATCCCTTCCACCCAGCTCAGTGCCATGCCAGGAGGGCCTGTCGGCTATTCTGTCCCCATCCAAGGACACTGTGGCACAGCTGGGATTTCCCGGAGCGAACACTTTCCAGACGGTCTGGAAGGGCACAAGCATGTCCCCCAGGACCCCAGCTCAGCGCGGCTGTGCCTCGCACCAGTTAATTCAGGCAACAAACAGTCGCTTTTCCAGCAAAAGCTTTGGTGGAGTAACTTTCTGTACCGAAAAAAGCCCAGACCCAGGCGCAGCGTTGGGCACCGCGGGTGGGCAGCCCCGGAGCGGGGCTGGAACTCACGGGTGGAGGTGCCTATGGAGGGGCAGGAATGAGGGAAGGACTTGAGGGATGGGGTCTGTTCCCTCCCGGCCCAGAGCGGGGGGTTCTGTCCTGTCTCAGCCCCGGGCTGGGAGGGTTTGTTCTCCTGCCGGCACAGCGCTGGGCAGAACACGGGAGATGAGGAATACGGGGAAAAAATAAAACCCCGCAGTTTGTCAGCCGTGCCGGTGCCCGGTGGGCGCTCGCCCCTCCCGCGTCCCCCCGGGCGCGGCTCCCGCTCGGTTCGGCCCCGCCGGCATCCCCCGGGAAGGGGAGGCACAGCCCGGACCCCCCTTCGGACCCACCCGGGGCTCTCCCGGGGAAGGGGGGCACAGCCCGGTGCCCCGACTCGGGATCACTTCCCGGTCCGTTCCCGGTGTGTTCCCGCACGGTCCCGGGATCTGTTCCCGGTCGGTTCCCGCACGGCCCCGGGCTGTGTTCCCGGTGTATTCCCGGTATTCCCGGTCCGCTCCCGAACGGCCCGGGCTGTATTCCCGGTGTTCCCGGTCCGTTCCCGCACGGCCCGGGCTGTGTTCCCGGTGTGTTCCCGGTGTATTCCCGGTATTCCCGGTCCGTTCCCGCACGCCCTCACCTCTTTCCCGCTCTCCTCTCCGGCTCCCCCGCTGCTCGCGCCGGGCGCGCGGCCCGAGCGCCGCCTTTCATTGGCGCCCGCGGCGGCCCCCGGGCCGCCCTCAGCCAATCCCGCACCGGCTCAAAACTTTCCTGGCCAATGGCGTGCGGCGGGGCGGGGCCAGCGGGGAACGCGCGCACATGGGCGCGTGTCCGACAGGGAACGGGATGGAAAACTGGGAGAGGGGCTGGGGACAAGGGATGGAGGGACGGGACTGGGGGAATGGCTTCCCACTGCCAGAGGGCAGGGATGGATGGGATATTGGGAAGGAATTCCTGGCTGTGAGGGTGGGGAGGCCCTGGCACAGGTTGCCCAGAGAAGCTGTGGCTGCCCCTGGATCCCTGGAAGTGTCCAAGGTCAGGTTGGACAGGGCTTGGAGCAACCTGGGATAGTGGAAGGTGTCCCTGCCCATGGAACTGGGTGAGCTTTAATGTGCCTTCCAACCCAACACATTCTAGGATTCTATGATAAGACAGCACAGCTCCTGCCACGGCTCCCGGGGCTTAAAAAAGACAGGATAATGAAAAAAAATGGATAGTATTTTCAAGCGTTCTTGCCCCAAAGCAGCAGTGCAGGGAGAATGCAGTGGGGAGGGGTAAGGCTGAGGATTTGGGGGTGCCCAAGCAGTGCACAGCCCTGGCTGGGGTGGGGGGAGCTGGCAGCTCTCAAGCCAAGTTGCCTTTTGTGGCTGGGCTGGGACTGTCCCGCTGTCCCTCTGTCCCACAGTCCCTCTGACCCACTGTCCCACCATCCTCCCATCCCAGGCTCTGACACCAAGTGCAGAGAAATGGATTTCCGAGTCAGAGAGGAATGTGGCGGGGCAGTTTATCACAACAGACAGACAAGGAATGTTTTTAGCAGAAGAAACTGTCCAAAACCATGTTTCTCTTGTTATTTCAACGGATGTTGAGCATTGAATGACAATCTATTGCCTTTTGGGTTTTTTTTTTTTTTACATGAAATGGTGAGTTCTTTACAGCTTTAGCAAACATTCCTGCCTGCTCCAACAAACATTCCTGCCTGCTCCTGCTGTGTCCAGGAGGTCCAGCACAAAGCCCCTTTGTGCAGGTGAGGGTTAGAGGGCTCCACGTGCTCCCAGCTCTCCCCCCTGGTTCCCCACTTCCCACTGATACACACCATTCTCCCTTCTTCATTGTGCCTGAGTCCAGGAAAAACCCGTGCTGAAATAACAGAAACCAGGATCCAGCTGCCTCCTTATGGTCTGTGATCTGGGAGCACAGCCCCAGCTCAGGGCTGAACTGCCTGCCTACAACTGTAATCTGAAAAAAATAAATCTGGAACTCTTGTGTGAGTTTAATACCTCCCATGCTGGGACATTTTTCTGAGATTTCTTGCAGCATTCCTGCAGAGAGGGGGAACAGGGAAACAGGCACCCCAGGGTCATTTGGACCTGGATATGCTTCTCCAAAATGCAGGAGTACAATTCAGAGTGACTCTGTGCAAAGGGCAGGGCAGGCTGGTCCCTCACCAGGGAGATCAGGGACGGGCACAGGCGCCTGTGTTTCCTGTCCCGTGCCCCAGCCAGGCTCTGCTTTGCTTCCAGAAGAAGATAAGGATTTTCTGCTGCTCCCAGCTGTGGGATGTGCTGCCCGGGTCCGTGCAGGGGCAGCTGGGCCCCTGAATTCTTGGATTGTGCCTCAGGATCCCCCCGGGGCAGCGATGCCATCACCCTTTGGCCGGTGAGTGCTGGGCTCCTGCAGCTCTGAGCACTGCTGGGGGCTCCCCCTCTGGCACAGGATGGAGTGGGCAGTGCCTCTGGGATCAGCCCAGGAGAAGGGATTCCTTCTCTTCAAGAGAGAGAAGGGGGATGGAGCTGAATAGGTGATACTGGCTGGGTACAGCAAACAGGCCAAAGCATCAGGGGCTCGTGTTCCCCCCGGAGAGCAGGAATGTGTCCCTGAGCAAATGTCTGCTCATTTTTAGAAGAGGTATTTGAACATCCTAAACAAAAAATCTGGGTTAAAAAGCAAAGGCAGAAGACAAATTCTGGAGAGATGAAGTCCCTCTGCAGAGGTTGTTTGAACCTGACCTTCCAGAGGCATTTTGGGAGTGTGCAGAGGGAACAAACAGCACAGGGATATTGTTTTTCAAACCCATGAAGAGCTTGGCAGCCCCAGGAAACATTTGACATGGCAATGGGGTGACATTATCTCACTTTCCCAATGCACACATGCACGTGGCCACCTGGGACATAGGAAAGAACTTACAAAGGGATTTCAGGGTGGCACGAGGCACAGGGTGATGGGCCAACACCCAGCAGGAGCGGTGGCACTGCCCAGGTGCCACCCACCCCAGGGACACTGTGGCAGGTCCCCACTGTCACCCACCCCAGGGACACTGCGGCAGGTCCCCACTGTCACCCACACTGTGGGACACTGTGGCAGGTCCCATTGTCACCCACCCCAGGGTGGCAGGTCCCCTTTGGCTCCTGTGCTTGCCCAGAGCTGAGACCACACTTGGGACGAGCATGGAGGAAAAGCTCTGTCTGGGAGGGAGGGGGGCAAATCCGTGCCACAGGGACATGTTCTATGTAGAAGTGACAGGTTTGGGGGCTTTTTGTTTCTTGGGTTTAGTTTTAAGCAGCAGTTCCAAAGCTGAGCCCCCGCAGGCTCCAGGTGCTGGGGCGGGATTGGGCACTCCTGGTTCAGCCAGGACTTTTCACCAGCATGGAAACAGCTTCACAGGGGGTGTAATGAGGCTCTGTCATCACTTAATATTGGAAGACAATAAACCCAAGATTAGAGTAAGAATTGAAACCATCCTAGATGCTTACATTTATGACAAAATATATCTGGAAGTGTTGTAATTAATGATGACACAAATAAATCATAACAAATGATAGTGAAGTGTAACCAGAGCAAGAAGCCACACACCAGGGGCAGGTTATTCCTGATGTTCAGAACCCCCTCGGGAAGCCCCTGATGGTGGGAACTCTCTGGGATGAGAAACCCAGCCAGGCTGGATGGGGACTGTTTTAGTTTCTAGGTTTCTGAATGCTTCAGGCTGTCAATAAACAGCAATAAACAGCTGTAAATGGTGTCTGTGAGGATGAAATGTGCTCCGGTGTCCCGGCAGTCGTGGAGCAGAGCAGGGAGGTGGAGGCGAGGTGAAGCGGCTCCGAGGAGGACCCGGCTGCTCCTGCTGAGCTGTGGGAAGGATGCCAGGGCTGGTTATCACCCACAGCCTCTGCAGAGTGAGGCTGTGCTATACTTAGCTCTCTGCTAGGAAGAGACAGAATCATCCTGTGACTAAACACAGCTAAATCCCTGCAGGAGTCATTGCCCATAAACTGCCAGCAAATGGACAAAGATGCTCAATTATGAGAATCAGGGATTTCAGCTTCCTGTTGATTCATCGGTAGCTTTTATCAGCACAAAACTATCCCTGCAGAGGTGACACCAGGCCAGGGCTTCCTGAAGTGCCCTGGGGGTCAGCTGAGCTCCAGGGGCAGCAGCACGTGCCATGGGCAGTCCAGTTCCTGGCTGGAATGACGGCAGCGGGACATGGGCATCAGCGATGGTTTGTGATCCCAGCGCTGCTCCTCGCTGCTGCTGAAGGTGAGCCCAGGCTCCCCATCTCCTGGGAGCTTGTCCTCATCAGTCTGCAAGGTCAGGAGTTTATTGGAGACACTGAGGACAGAGCAGGAAAAGACATATGAGGTCTTTTCCTGTGTGGAGGGCAGCCTGTCTGAGAGCATCACTCT